TCTACTGGGTAATTATATTTGTTTATGTTCATTGACAGTAACTGATAATTATTTTGAATCGTTTTCAATTATGGACGAATATTACCCGCTATAGTTATTTAAAGTATGAAAATAAATTGATAGGCAACGTATTGTTATGACCAATTTTTTTTTTAATTTAAATCAATCGTTCTACATTTTAGATATTAACACGATCAGTCATCCATAAAGGAAGAATCGGTAATACAGATTTTGTTGAAATTATGACATGATGTTGTCATTCTCAACATTTTACAGACATTTAAAGTATGCCTTGTGGTCACAACATTCAATATTTGCTCAACAAAAGGCTGATAATTAGTGACACAGCGAAACATCACTGCGCATCAATGTGCTTGACATGTTTCATGTTAATTGGATGGCATACACAATAGCAGGACAGTGCAACCCAAGCATCGTTATTATGACATATTGTTCACTATTGAAACGAATTTAACTATACCTGTACAGTATACCATCAGTGTACTGGTGCGTCCAACCCACGAAAGGATAATGAACGCTTCGTCTCTGTTTATGCATTTTTTAAGATTGCCAAATTTTACACATTCTCTGATTTATTATATCGTATTCAGAGAAAGGATAAGTAAAACTATAACATAATGCAGGGTTTTGTTTGTAGGTAATTTTTCCAAAGTGAATCTATTATATTATATACACAGCAACTTGTGGAGATCAAATAGTGTTCTGTACTGGAGTAAATGCAATTATTACTTATAAATTGCTTTTAAAGGTCGAGTGACCGAATTACCACAAGAATTAATGGAATGTCGTTGTGGAACTGTGCTATGTCAAAAGATTTAATTCGATAACTGTACATATTCACACGCATTTTCAGGCTTTTAAAGCTAAAGCCCGCGATAAAAGCAATTAAAACTTTAACAACATCAGCCCCTGCTCTTTCCAACGTCCTACCTCAATTTTGGCTTTCAGTATTTGCTAAAATTATTATAAACATGTATTTTTCACATCCTATTGATCATCATTTCTTTTTAAACTTGGATTATTCATTCTCGTTTTATAAATTTCTCGTTCTAAACAAATTTGTTTTTAACTTCTATGACAGATAATTTGTCAGGAGTGGTTGTGAGCGAGTCAAAGATAATTTATCTGTCTCAAGAGCTTTATTTATTACGCGTTCGCATCTTCGTTGAGCCCCTTAAAGTTGTTGGTTAATGGAACTTCTTTGCGGCTGAAACGTCACTCACTTTTAGGGAAGTCGGCGCGAGACGCATCTCAACATGTGGTCATTTTAGCCAGCCTTTATTTTTTCTTTCCCAGTAAGTGACGGGTTAATGGAAAACGAATGAACAGTTCAGATAAGTATCAGTACTTTTGTGAGTCGTGTTTTCGCACTTAGATAATAAGATTTTTATTTGGCTACAGTAAATGAAATGATAACATTATTTTTTTGGGAAGTAGGTATAATATATTCTTAGACTATATATTATAAACTTAACATGAATAACGGAAATGAAACAGATCTTAAATAAAACCAATTAAAAAATCAAATGCCTTACTAACATACATATAAGTTCTCCCCAATTTACTCGTATGCATAGGTATAAAAAATTATCCAACTTTTCGGAATGGGTAGATTGAAACTAATTTAATTTTTATGATAGAGTACACTAAATCCCCTCCCATATTAATATTTGGCCGCGGCCATGGCAGAGAAGGCATTTAATCCTTTCAGTAGAGCCTCTATTTAACCTTTGTATTTAATTAGTTTTGGGAGCGAATGAACAAACAAAATTTCGAGTGGTATTCCATGTGGGGATTAGCTGAGACTAAAGGGGCAATTATGATTGATGATAGGATATGATTCGATTCCACTTAACACATTATAAAGGGGTTATTTTATTGCTTGTTGTTTTGAAGTAAGACTAATGAACTCTCTCTTTATTCGTCATCCTTCAGTTTTAAATGTTTTCGTACCAACGTGTAGATGAAAGTACAAACGAACTCCAAATAAGATGTTATTGTTATATCAAAAAAAAAACTGTATATATTTCTTTTAAAAAGTATTTATAATAATTTCATTATGAGCTTTACTTATTATTGAAAATGTAAATTACCTATAAAGATATATAGTATATACCTAAAAATATGTATATGTAAACTTAAATAATTCATTTCTAAAATATAATAACATTACTGAAGAAAAGTATAAAAAGAAAATAGGAGACACAGTAAAGTTTATATTAAAAGTCATGTGAGAGTCTGTCTTAGTATCGAGACGGTCAAAGTATTTGCATTTAGATAGCGAAGCAATACCGTTCAAATACCTTTTACCAGTAAAAGTAATAGCATAAAATAAGATTTTAAGGTTAGATCATGCATTATTTAGGTTCAATTTAAAAGCTAACGCGATGGTCGTGGGTCGACACGAATCGTGAACAGCAAAATGTGACCGCAAAGGGCTGTACCCTATAATGTATTAATGACCTCACCAACCCTATATGATACTCGTATGAAAAGCTCATTAATATTTTTGCTGATGTCATCTTACATGTTTGCTTATACGTTTTATTACTTGTGAGTGTTTTCGTGATCCATAAAATAAAATTTATGGTTCAATATAATATTAGATTACATTCTCATTTCATTATAGCTTTAAAATAAAATTAACGTCAATAACGAAGGGTCCGATGTGCAGTTGTAAACCAGGCGAATTCAGAATGGACAGAGCATTTGCTAACATTTTCAGCTCAGCTAATTTTAAAATTGCATTTTAGTTTCGCTCAACAAAAAGTAGATATAAGTGGTTTTAGTGGTAAATCGATTCAGTAGAGCATTTTCATGTAATGGCTGAGAGACAAACGTACGTTGTTCATAAATCGAGGTCTTTTAATTTTGTGAAATGTATAATTAAGTGCACTATATATTTATTTTGCATTGAAAACGAAATATATTTTATTCACACAAGCTGTAAGACTTCATAAACTTATTCTATTCGTGTTTTTTTTGGTTAGTCATTGCTGTTTAAAAAAAAATCTCTCACATAGTGAAACAACTTCTGGTTCGGCTAAATGGATCATATTTTTATTTAATATAAGAAATATAAGACTAAACTTATATCTTGTACATAAGTTAAATGCCATATATCAAAGCTTGCGCTACTGGCCGCGTACACTGCGTTAATTACATCAAATTGTGTCGTCACCTGGGAGGACAGTCTTAACGCTACGTTTAATTTCAGCGTTGAATTTGATTTTTCTCTTATTACTTTATACGAGTTATGTGAATTAAAGAGTTAAAAATTTATATCATCATCTTTTCAGTCTTTAAAAACGTTTATTAAATACGTTCCCAAGTAATGGTACTAATTTCAATCAAAATAAAGTTAAATAATATTCTTTCCTAAACGAAAAGTCTTAAAAAGTATTAATATAGCACACGTAAATATATTTGCTGGATTATATTCATGTACTGTCACTCAGTATGTAGGATTACAATGTTGATATCCAAACATGAAGATTAATGGAATTTGGGGAGCTAAGATTATCGATATTTACATAAATAAAATATATGAAAAGAAACATTCAAATAAAACAGGTAACATAAATAGGATGAGCTTTTATCAGTAAAAGATAAGAGGGTTTAAATAGTTTTTACAACAATCTATTTTGTTATTATGAAAAGCAAAAACGAACTAATCTATGATTAATAATTATAGATAAACCCTTACACAAACAGATTAAATCTTAAAACATCTTATAAATAGCTACATTAATTCAGCGTGATACTAATTCCACTTTGCTTCCAGGAACAGAAAGAACTAGAATTAAAAATGTAAATTTGCGTTTCTAAAGTTTTAAGCATTTTCTCACGGATAAGTTTAAATGAATGTAGAACGTCACAGTGTACTTTTGTAGTTCCAGCCGAGCCGACTGAGGGTTAGTTAATTTTTTATTAGCTTCGACCCTTTCCAAGAGAATATTCGAAAAGAGATATGTACCGTCTATTACATTTAATTGCGGACCACACGAGGTGTTTTATTACGTTTGACACGTCATGTTTTGTCTCTTAATCATTCTCGCTTTATTCAATGAGAACGCTCGGAATGCGGAACATTCACGAACCTTTTGATGAGAGCTAAGATTAATTTCGGAGGGTTTGAAAGCTCAAAGGAAATTTTAGAATGTAAGTGCATTAATAAAGGTTTTTTAGGCTCCCGATAGGCACTCTTTTATCGTCAGACATGTCTTTATTAAATTTATGAGCTTTTACGTGAACATTCGGTAACTATATTGCTCGGGAACGGCAAAAATTTGAGCTTACATTGCTCTTTGAACTTAACTAAAAGCTTTTGGAATTGCGATGACACGTTCGTTTCGAAAATTATTTTAAATTAGGAAACTTTATATTTTCAATCTTTATATACATAATTCTTCTGTGGGTGAGTATGTCACTGAACTTCTCTCAAACGACTGAACCGATTTCGATGATATTTTTTGTGTGTGTTCAAGGAAATCTGGGAATTGTTTAGATTCACAATTTTGTCCACTGGACAATGTTTTTTAATTAATTTTTAATTTATTAGTAGTTGTTGATACAAACGTTTTTTTTTTTGATATTAGATTGGACAACTAACTAATATGTCAATCATTCTGTCGCACTTCAAAACACGGAGATTTATGGCTTTAATAAGTAAACTCCAAAAATATAAATAAAAAACACGTTACAGATATTTCTTGATTATAGGGCGATACGAAGTTCGCCGGGTCTTCTAGTATTATAGTATATATATTTTTGTTATCTTAATTGTGTTTAAATATTTTAATGATATCAATTAATTATACCTATATCGTTTGTTTGTCATTAACAAATCGAGATAGAACAAGGTTAATGATGAAATATGTTAGTGAACGATTATTCTTTTTTTGTCTTAATGACCCTACGGTGTGTATTAAACGTGAACCTGGACAAAAAGTATGTGTAAAATGTTATAATTAGAATACCTGTGATGGCTAGAGCTTGAATGTCCTGTAGTTGAGCTGGAAATAGGAGAACGAGCTGGATAAGTAGCGGATCCACCGTGACCACCTTCGGACATTACAAATTCTGAAACAACAAAGACATGTGATAGAAACATTCGCTGCTTTAATTAATTAAACATCTGTCTAGGCATCAAATATAGCGCCAAATACATTACAAAATACAGTAAGAAAATCCATACACATAAACAAACTTGTTAGAACTGCTGTAGTTGGACATTTACTATGCTAGACGGACATAACATAAAACAAGATATTTGTGTGGCTGTTTGTCGAAACCTCTGTTTGCTTTAATTTTCTCAAAGTTAAAGAGCCTGGTTATATTATTAATCATTAACCGTAGTGACAAAATGAACCTTGTGCCAAGCAAGCAGTCATGTATTATACAATTTCTATATAAAAATATTATAACAGTAAGTATTGTTTTGCTTTGTACTTTGATTTAATATTTTGTAATACTATACCATTGTAACTAAATATAGATACGAAATCCTATTACAGTTGTTCTCTGTGAAGCGAAACAGATCTCCTTTTCATCTGCGTCTCGTTGTGCTTTCTCATCCACCTTTGTTTGAAAATTCTCTTGTGCATTGTAAACAACTAATACTTCAGATTGATATGGTCCTGTGCTTAGGTAATATAATACCTTTTATGTTATATCTTATAAACATTATTTCCTACTTTACATTAACTTTGTTCCTTTATTTTAAATAGAAATAAACAATTTTTTTCTTCAATCCAAAACGAAATCGCGAACAAAATGGAAAAGGGTTTTTATTAACTATTTTCGGTCACTACCAACGACACAGTTATTATTGTGAGCATTTTTGTCTAAGCTCTCCAAAGCAATAGGAGCGGCTACCTCTGACGACCAATCTAAAATTCACAGAGGATGATGGATGTGAGATTAGCCTAAAACGCCATAATGTTCCTAATACACTTTGGGTTATCAAAATTCATTCAATTACTAATGATCGTATAAATAATAACATTTTATTTAGATATACATAAATGTATAGCAGATGTGTGTTTATACTAAAATTTAATAATATCCAATTGATTTTAACATAAATGGTTACTATTTTTTTCTATTATACATATGTCTTAAAAAAATGTATACAGTTCTTTGGCCGGCATTTATTTAAAACCGCTGTGGACCGAGTTGAATTTTTGACGAATGTTGTAGTCGAAAGGGAAGGACGTGATGAGATGTTACGAATCCACAGCACCCTTGATAAAGTACCGCCTGTCGAAATACGGTAAAATATAACATTCAGCATCTCGTTTTGTTTATCATCTTGCAAATATATTTCGTAGGTCTTTCAGTTTATACGATATGTAAATACGTCTCAAGTAGAAAGAATGCAAACAAATCAGCGGGTCCTTGTTTATCTTTTTTCTATTTATTATTATCTTTCCTATTTATAATTTTAACGTAGTTTATTTTAAATCAAAAAAGTATTCAATTATAAAAATCAATGTTTTAAAATGTCTAATATTATCATTATATTCTTTAAAAAAGTGGGTTTTGAATATACAACGAGTTTTACAAATTGAGGCTTTTTAGCTCCGGAGTTAATTATAAAGTCTGTAATATTAAACATTAAGCTTAATATTAAAATTTTACCTCTTGTTATAGGTACTGTAGGATAAGCCATTACATTATTACTTAACAACTCCGAGTTGTTTCATTACGAACTATGCGAAACAATGTCGTTAGTAAAACAGCAATTTAACAGTACTTTAATTTCATCTCTTAGAGGAGTTGTGTAATCGGGGGAAAATGAAAATTGATTGTTACTAACTAAGATAAGTTTGAAAAGTTATGACGAAAGTGCTCTCGTGGAAGGACGAGCAAAAATGTTCGTCACTGATTTAGTTTCGAAGTAATCATTGCACAAACAAGAATGAGTATGGGTCCATTTATCATTTCAGACAGATCTTTATACGAACCATACCATATTTCAACATTCATGTTCCATTAACTAATAAGTTTTACTTAATTATAAAATAATTAACATTGTAGGTCATACATACATATATGTGTAATTAGATGTCTATATGATATAAAATGTTCCGATGTTTTAGATTATTATATCGGGTTTATAACAATTTTAATACCAATATTGTGTAATAGGCTATAATGATTGAGTTTTATTTTATTCCCGACGGGACTGGTAAACAAATTAATTGCGGGCAGATGATTAATATCGAATACCTGCAAAATAATATTAATGAGTACACTGATTTTGAGGTTTATAATACAATTTACAAATAATAAATTGATATTTTATTTTAAAAATTACACCAGTGACCAAAACTTAGGATCTGTTAAAAAATTTCAAGTCTTTGCAATATAACAGTTCCCGATATATTTCATTATAATACATGAGGATTGATATCTATTACGGAAATGATCAGAATGTATAAGTTAAATACGCTGATATGACAGGTAACATGAAAGTTCTGATTACAAAGGTTTTCTTTTATGAACACGGGGTGGATGCCACTTTTACATACAATAAATTGGTAAGGAATCAAAGTCCACATGTCTGCGTGGGCCTACCTTAATTTTCCTCCTTACTGCGCGAGCTGAATACCAAAGAAAGGACGGACATCAGTATTACCCCGAAACGAGATTTCCATACAAATTTTACAAAATGTTGCAACATAATATCCTCTTTATTTATGTACTCTAAGATACAAAACATTCATCTTATTAGATTATATTTAAATTATTCTAAATATATAAGAAAAAATATTTGCATGAAATTTTCTTCTCGGTATACGAAAAATTTATTTATGTATTAATAAATTAGTAATTATTGTGTCTATATTCTTCTGTATACCAAACTATTAAAAAAAACAGGCTAACATAATTAATATTTTTTGATTTATCACATTTGTATATATTTTATTTATGTAAAATTAAAGAATCTTATATTAATAACTATGCGGTACAGTTAAATAATTCCTGTAATATTTTTCAAATTTATTTTAATTATTTTTTCTATTGACTACTCTTGTTTACGACGAAATTTTACTGATAACTTATAAAATTTTGTATTAACAGAATTGCTTTTGAGATCAACGAAAACCCAACGATATTAAAGTAATGTTGCTTATTTAGCCCTAAATGACTTGATCTTGTTTAAGGTCCTTTGAAGATTGTAACAAGTTTTCACAAAGTTTGTTAGTAATTTATTGTTTGCCGTCATTGGTTTTATATGCAAGTTAACTGAGAATAAGATTTCCGTATTAAAATGACCTCTTTATATAAAAGTTTTATTATAATAAACAAAACCTTAATTGTATAAATAAAAAATAAATAATATTAACCTAATAATGATTCAACGTGAACCACATTCCTCGTAAGAGTTTAATAGAAACAAACTTTCTGTTTTAATAACTTTTTTGCATATGTTACTTAATTACCTTTGTAAAATCAGATGGCTTCTGAAATAACTTTAAATGTGAATACTTATCATATTTCAAATAAAAATTTACAAACAATATTAACCTGAAATCATTAAATGTTTTTATTTAAATAGTAATGAGTGTAAGTAAATATATTCATACATGTGTCTGGATGAAATCTTAATTTAAAAGACATGTCATCAACACATTGGGATGAAATTTTCAATCCTCACATTGGATGCGGAATCTCAGGTAGCTGACATTCTTTTACATCTAGAAAGACTGACCGTTTATTTTTGTCACTTCCACTATTTCATACATACGATTGAAAATTAAAAATTATATATTATTTATATGTATTAAAAAATAATAACAATCACGAAAGTGAGTCTATTCAGGACTATCGGATCGCCGTCATCGGCGATGGTGATTTTGACGTAATAATGTTATGTAAGAAAGACATTACGTTTTGAGTTAATTTATATCATATACTTGATATAGCTTTATTCTCTATAACAACAGCAGAGCCTCGATAGCACTACTCATAACTTTGTTATAATATCAAATTCTGTCATAAATTGAATATAATCTCAAAGGCATTACAAAACAAGCGCTTTAACCCTTTAACATAATGTTAACAGTTCAGTTTCAGAACACTTCAAAGATGAAAGTGAAATGCATGTCTCAACAGTGACAAAGATATTTCAACTAAGAATTTAATATCAACTGAAATGAAAGTTATTCTCTTACAACTTTCCAACACAGTTGTTAATAACGAAACTTGCGGTTAATAGGGTAGGGTAGGGTTGAGAGCTAGCTTGGGTAAATTTTCGGGACAATTCAATAGGAAAATCGGCCTTTGTGAAACTTCCATTGTGCTATAGATTTTCTGAACATCATGTCATGAAGCCTTGTATGAGCCGCCAAAATTTAATTACCCATCTCCATAATCCAATCAGTAAAACATAACCGTAATGTCGTGGTATTGTGTTTGAAGAATTTCATAATAATTAATTTAATTAGAGCTTACTAACTAACTGATGGAATGATACTTATCAAGTTAAAAAGCGTTTAATACAATAAACATGGAGTTGATGATGCAATTTAAACATTAATATTTAATGATGATCATAAATTTTGTATCGATAGAGAATACAATAAAATGACACTCCGGATTTATAGATACATATAAAGGACACTTTCATTGAATGTTCATTTCCAGAGCAATGTTGGAAGGGTATATCGAATGTTTACGACCACATTAAACATATTTTTATGAGGACACCGCGGTGTACTATATTATTACTTAAAGGGAGTTAGTAATACAATCCCATTTCATTGGTCCGTTACTTGCAAAGTATACCTTCATCAAAATTGACAACGTGCGCAGCTCGTAAAGCATTTACGGCGCGATACACTGACACGCCCGCATACAATGAAATCAAGATAATATTCGCATTTAACGAAATTAATGCTTTATGGATTTAAATGTTACGTCAAAATCATCACATACTTACAATAGCAATTACATAGAATATAATAATATGATCAATGGGTTTATTATATTTGTAGAACATCATATAGAAACCTAAATTAATGGAAAGATCACATTGCAATTTTTCAAATAATCTTCAGAAGAAGCTGATAGAA